CAGGTCTGCTCAGTTTCAGTGTAGAGGGTCCGAACTCTGAGCTGCAGGCTGAAACGGAGGCCGTCTTTAAGTGTTGAGGGCCTGTTGGAACCACTCCCCTACCAGACCAAGTAAGGCTGATGATCTGTGTCTGACGACTCGACTGTCCCAGGGGATACGAACCCTCCCAAGGACTGGTACAGACCGGCGGGCTGCTCGGTGTGGCACAGTAGGCTGGAAAGGCTGAGTTGTGGGCTGAAAGCACAGGCAAAACCAAGCTGATCACGTCATCTTGTCTGCGACGTTAGAGAATTCTTGAGGAGTTACGGGGAATCTCCTTAAATGCCTCCTGATCAGCCACTGGTTCAGTAGTGACAGCCATAGTGTAGGTCTAGTCTAGAGACCATAGTTGACAGGATCCCTGTCAGGATTCTGTGAGTCTTAGATTGAGTCAGTAGGTCTGTCAGTCAGGGGTTGAAGTCTACGTGGTGAGGTTTGGAACCACTAACCCGGTTGTACACTTATCACCATGGTTGAGACCCGTAGTGGGAAGGAGACTAGTCCCTACACCACGGAGCAGCAAGAAAAGATGGCCGCCTTAGTCAGAGAGAGTAAGGAGAGGAAAGAGCGTGAAAAGCAAGCCAAGCTAAAGGCTATCGCAGACGAGCAGGCGGCGAAGATGAAGAGATTGGAGGAGGAGATGAAGAAAGTACAACGAGAGGAGGAAGAAAGAAGAAAAGCTGCTGAAACAGAAGCGGCAGCAGAAGAAGAGAAAGAGAGGATGAGGATTGAGAGTGGAGAAGGGAGTAGTGGTGGCACGATGACAAGGGAAACAGATACAGGGCTAGAGAAGAAGATCTGCTAGTGGGTCGCTAATTTATCGTTGGGGGAAGACGAGGAGGCGGAGTCCTATGTAGTTAAGGATGAGAAGGCTGCGCTGGCCGCCGAGCTAGCAGCCATGACAGACCCAATGGAACGAAGAGAGAGGGAGGAGGAACAAAAGTTAGCATGGAAGCTGAGGATGAAGAGAGAGAAGAAGAAGAGGAGAGAGGAAGTGAACAAGATGACCGCAGAGGTGGCAAAGGTGCAGGAGTGTAGAGCGGAGGTGCTGGCCCAACCAGACGATAAGGTCAAGTGGGACAAAGTATTGGGGTATCTGGAGGTGTTGAGCAAGGCCTGGATGGAGGAGCGCCAGGCAAGTTGGAGCCAGGATGTAGCGTTGAGTGCCATGCGGTCAGGGCTTAGAGATTTCGTGCGCGAGGTTGTCACCCATATTGGGGGCGAAGTGAAGCAATTGAGAGATAATGTAGGGAAGTTTTGTGAGGGCGCCATTCAGGGTGCCAAAGCTGTAGCCGCTGTAGAGGGAGAGGCCAGACCCCGTAAGGA